AGCGGAGATAGGGTCTTGCTCTTCCTGAGACTATTCTTGAACTCCTGACTTCAAGTCATCCTCCTTCCTCAGCCTCCCTGAGTGCTAGGATTACAGGTGTGAGCCACCATGCCCAGCCTATACAATTGATTTTTTTGTGTGTTGATCTTGTATCTGCAACCTTGCTGAACCCACTTTTTTGGTTGACTCCTTATGAGTTTCTATATACAAGATTATAATTTTTTATCTGCAAATTACGATAGTTTACTTCATTCTTTCTAAACTGGGTGGTTTTTATTTATTTTTCTCACCTAATTTCCTGGCCAAAACCTCTTGTACAATGTTGAATAGAAGTGGCAAGAACAGACATCCTTGTTTTATTCCTGATCTTAGAAGTATTCAATCCTTTAAGAAAAAGCTGTTGCTTTTTCATAGATGCTCTTTATCAAGTTGAAGATGTTCCCTTCTAATCCCAGTTTGCTGAGTGTTTTTATCATGAAAGGGTGTTGGATTTTATCAAATGCTTTTTTTGTGTTTACTGAGATGATCATGTGAGTTGTGTTTTAAATTCTAATGATACCCCTGTATTACATAAGTCTTTTGTTGTTAAACCAATCTTATGTTTCTGGGATAAATCCCACTTAGTGCATAATTTTTTTTGAGACAGAATTTATCTCTATCACCCAGGGCTAGAGTTCAGTGGCATCGTCATAGCTCAATGCAAGCTCAAACTCCTGAACTCATGTGATCTTCCTGCCTCAGCCCCCTGAGTAGCTGGGACTACAGGTGTGTGCTGCCATGCCCTCTTAAGTTTTTTCTACTTTTTGCAGAAACAGGGTCTCCCTCTTAATGAGGCTGGTCTTGAACTCCTGGCCTCAAGAGGTCTTCCTGCCTAGGCCTCCCAAGTGCTAGGATTACATAGGATTACGGATGTGAGCCACCTCGCCCAGCCTTTTTTGTTTTTTGTTTTTTCTGAGACAAGAGCCTCTCTCTGTTGCCTAGGTTGGCGTGCAGTGGTGCGACCACAGCTCACTGTACCCTTGAACTCCTTGGCTCAAGGGATCCCCCAACATAAACTTCCTTAGTAGCTGGGATTACAGGCACGCACCACCATGCCTGGCTAATTTTTAAATTTTTTTTGTGTAGAGATGGGGGTGTCTCACTATGTTGACCAGGCTAAAGTTGAACTCCTGACCTGAAACAATCCTCCCACCTTGGCCTCCCAAAGTGCTGGGATTACAGGCATAAGCCACCATGCCAGGCCTAATGGTGTTGTTTAAATATTTTCAATAACTTGCTGATTTTTTTCCCTGCCTGTTTTATCAACTACTGAGAGAAGTGTGTAATCTATCTACCAAGATTGTAGATCCATCTATTTTTCTTTTGATTTTAGTAAATTTGATTTATATATTTTTTTAGATGTTTTACGTATATATAAATTGTTTTACCTTTCTGAAAATATGGTTTGTCATAAAGTGGCCTCTTTCTCTCTAGTAATGGCCTTTGCTGTAAAATCTATTTTATCTGATGTTAACATATCGAGACCCCATTATCTACAAAAAATAAAATTAAAAAAAATTATCTGAGCATGGTGGCCCTTGCCTATAGTCCCAGCTACTAGGGAGGCTCAGGCAGAGGATTGCCTGAGCCCAGGAGTTTGAGGTTGTTGTGAGCTATGATGACACCACTGCACTCTAGCTACGGTGACATAGTGAGATTTTGTGTCTAAGAAAACAAAATAAAGCTATATCCATCTTTGTTTGGTTAGCATTTGCACAAAAATCCTTTAGCTTTTACCCTTTCTGAATCCTTACTTTTATTTATTTATTTATTTAATTTTTTTGAGACAGAGTCTCACTCTGTTGCCCTGGCTAGAGTGTCGTGGCGTCAGCCTAGCTCACAGCAACCTCAAACTCCTGGGCTCAAGCGATCCTTCTGCCTCAGTCTCCCAAGTAGCTGGGACTACAGGCATGCGCCACCATGCCCGGCTAATTTATTTATATATATATTTTTTAGTTGTCCAGCTAATTTCTTTCTATTTTTTTAGTAGAGACGGGGTCTTGCTTTTGCTCAGGCTGGTCTTGAACTTCTGAGCCCAAACAATCCACCTGCCTCAGCCTCCCAGAATGCTAGGATTACAGGCATGAGCCACCTCGCCCGGCCTGTCTAAATATTTTGGACATCTCATTCTCTCCATGAGTGTAAAATTGTATATATATTTCACACAACTAAAAACTACAACATAAACTTAAGTTATCAAAATATATTTTTCCTCTTCCTGAATTTTTGTGAATTTTTTTTAATCCACTAATCATTTTGTTACTGTTTTCTTGGTTAATGTTTATTATATTTACCCACATTTTTGCATTTGATTCTTCACTGTGCTCCAAGCCTTCCATCTGGAATCATTTTCCTTCTGAAATTTTTTTATTAAGGTAGCTCTGCTGTCAATGAACTGTCTCCACATTTGTCTGAGGTCTTTATTTCATTTGCTTTCTTGAATGATACTTTTCCTTAAAGATATTATTCCTCTGAACTTTTGCTCCCATTGTCACTACTGAGAATTCACTGTCAGTTAAAACTATGCACTTTTTTTAAATTTTTAAACTTTTTTTTTTTTACACATAAATTCTCTGACAAAAAACTATGCACTCTTGAAAATACTTCTTTTCCTCTGCTTTCAAGAGTTTCTCCTTGTCTGTGTTTATGTGTGATTTCTTTGTATATATCCTGCTTGGAATTTTCTAACTTCTTGAATATGGGTGGGATGGCTTTGTGATGGGTAAACTTGGGTAGAGTAAGAGAGGGTAAGCTCTATAGATTTCCCTTTCTAGTATGTCTTCAGTTAGGGTGGGTTACATGGGATATCCTCTCGTGAGAGCCAGAGAGTAAAATCTGGAGGGGCAGCAGATGATTTGTAGCATACACACACCTTCTCTCAGTTATTGAGTTATGCACTAGCCAGGTCCTTCTGTATAAGGGATTTTGCAAATGTAATTAATGTTTCAAATCAGTTGGGCTTCTGGCTTGGGCTAGCTTGGTTGATCTCTGCAGTCTGCTGGTGACTCGGTTGTAGCTAAATAGTCTAAGGCCTCATCCATACATCTAGCAGTTGGCAGCCAGTTTGGCCTTGAGGGTTGAGGGCAGGGTTCAGTTGGAATTACTTGTTTCTCTGCTCCATGTAGCTTCTCATCCTCCAGTAGACTTGTCCAGGCTTCTTTATGAAGTGGTCTCAAAATTCCAAAGAGCAGTAAGAGATGGCAAGCTTCAATGCACAAGCACTGTTATTTATGTATTTATTTTTTGAGACAAAGTCTCACTCTGCCACCCCTGGTAGAACCCAGTGGCATGATCATAGTTCACTGCAACCTCAAACTCTTGGGCTCAAGCAATCCTCCAGCCTCAGCCTACGGAGTAGCTGGGACTATAGGCTTTCGCCACCACGTCTGGCTAATTTTTTCTGTTTTTGGTAGAGACTGGGTCTTGCTCTTGCTCAGGCTGGTCTCAAACTCTTGACTTCAAGTGATCCTCCCACCTAGGCCTCCCAGAGCACTAGGATTTATAGGTGTGAGCCACCGTGCCCAGCCCACAAGCAGTTTTTTTTTTTTTTATTGAGACAGAGTCTCACTTTGTTGTCCAGGCTAGAGTGAGTGCCGTCGTGTCAGCCTAGCTCACAGCAACCTCAAACTCCTGGGCTCAAGCAATCCTACTGCCTCAGCCTCCCAAGTAGCTGGGACTACAGGCATGCACCACCATGTCCGGCTAATTTTTTCTATATATATTAGTTGGCCAATTAATTTCTTTCTATTTATAGTAGAGACAGGGTCTCACTCTTGCTCAGGCTGGTTTGGAACTCCTGACCTCGAGCAATCTGCCTTCCTCGGCCTCCCAGAGTGCTAGGATTACAGGCGTGAGCCATGGCGCCCGGCCCACAAACAGTTTTTATTCCTTAGTTTTTGTCACATTTGATGCTGTCTCCTTGGTCAAAACAAGTCACAGGACCAAGCCCTCCTGTAAGAGGTGAAGATACAGACTCTGCCTTTTGATGAAAGAAGTAGCAAAGTCGTGTTGCAAAGGGGTGAGTGCACAGGGATGGGAGGAATTACTGTGGTCATTTCCATAATCAGTCTACCAATTGCCTTACAGAAAGCGTGGTAAATGCTTTCCAAATGACAAACTTGGAAAACCATTTGCAACTCAAATTACAAAAGGTTAATTTAACTAATACTCAAGAAGCTTGAATAAATTAAGAAACAGACGAGAAGCTAATACATGATGGCTAAAGGATACAGACAGTTTCCAAAAGGAAACACAAATGTCTTTCTTAGCTGGGAACAAGGGAAAGGAGAGGAGGAAAATTTTTAATGGCATTAGATAATATTTAAAAAATGGATTGATTTTTAATTACATGGTATAAAACTTTAAAAAGTACAGAAAGATACATAGTGGAAAAATCTCTTTCCTCTTCCTTGTACTGCATATGTCATGTCCATTGATTTTACTTACGAAAGATTTTGCCATGCAGCTATTTTTAATATTTCAAAATATTTAAATCATTTCATTTATGATTCCTGGGGTTGGTCATGTATTTCCAACTCTATGATTATTTAAAAATCAAAACATTAAAACTCCCCTATGATTTGTTCTAGCACCTTTATTTTTAAATTTTTTATATTTAAATCTTTGATCCTTTGAATTATCCCAACATAAGGTATAAGGCATGGATCTAGTGCCAAGTGTTGAATTATCCATCTTTCTACTACTCATTTAAAAGGTCATTTTTTTCATAAACTAAAATCCTGCATATATTAACATTTAAAGGTAGGCAGGTGAGCTGATCAGAAAGAATGACAGCAAACCGCTGGAGAAGGAAGAGAGTGGGAGAAACATAAGCGGAGTGGCAGAACCTTTCCTTTTCACTGCAGCTGAACTAATAAGCACATGCATGACAACTGTTGTACTGTTCACCTAATAGAGCTCCTAAAGATTCCTAACCACCAGCCACATAGAAAACCAACAAGTAAGAGAAAAGGTTTTTTAATAAGAAAACTTTATATTTGGGCACAAAAATGCAATATACAACAGGAAACCATTATTCTATCAATAATGACATTATCATCTCAACTAAGAACACAGAAATTACATTATTAAGAAATGATAAAGGGAAACAAATTCTGTAAAGTCCTATTAAATTTACTTTGTTAGGGAAAAGGTTGTTTATTTTGGTTTTGGTCACAGTTCCATCATATCCACTTTCTTTGTAAGTTCAGCTTCAATGGAATCCTAGAGGAATAGAGAAATACCATAAAACAGATGTTTTAACTTCTAATATTATTTAAAATAAGGGAAGCAAAACTGAAAAACATTAAAACAGAAATTTTTAAAAATCCTATTATGAATATCAAATATGCTTTTAGACATTTCCTTGCTTTTCCACTCCCCCTCAATTTCCCCCAAACCCTCCCCAGAAAGTTTTCAGACTCCTAATTAATTCTAATAAATATCAGAAGGAAAGGGAAAAAATCTTTAGATCTGTAATGATACATGAATAGATTGTTCTGACCTTTACTCCTAAAGCAAATACTTCCACAATATCTCTCATATCACCTCTTTTCCATTTTCATCACCACTGTTATTATTTCTTGTCTGGCCTAAATAGGCCAACTGGTTTCTGCAATTTTCTTTCTCCCTGTCCCGATCCACCCTATACACCGGTTACAGAATAATCTTCCTAAAGCACTACCCTGATCAAAAAGCCTGGCTTCGATCACATTTCTCTTGAGCTTAAAAAACAAGGAAATATACAGCAACTTTCAGTGGTCCTATAGCCTCTAAGTTCAACCCTCTTTATATTGGAGGACCTTTATATCATAAATCGAGTGACCTTTTTCAACCCTGTCTTACATTGCTTGCTCTTAAGCAGCTGGGACCTCATCACTTGCCACAGCTTAGATACGTTCTCCATTTTTCAGTCTTATGACTTTACTAATTCTTTTTGCCTAGAATATTCTATATCTCTCAGCACCCCTTTTTCACTATGAAAATGTATGCAAAATTTTAAAAGGCATAAAACACCACTATGTCTTTGGGAGTTAAGGAGGTCTTCTGGTGAGGGCTGGAAAAGCTGCTAGAGAAATTCTAAAAGAGCTATAACATTGCTGCTATGTATTTTTTAATGGAAAACACACACACAGCCAAAAAAGTATTAAAAGATGCATGGGAATAACACAGCAACTCTGGGACTGCAGTTTACCTCTGAGGAGAAAGGAAAGAAGGATGAAGGGGGCTTTAGCTATATCAGCATTTATTTTATTTCTTTTTAAAAAAATCTGAAGAAAAAAACTAGAAACTACTTACTAATTCTCGCTTTGCTTCTTCAATTTTCACTTGAGCAAGAGATGGATTCTTTAGAAGAAAAATAAAACAAAGAAAGGTTATATTGCCTTAATTCAGACTCAAGGAGAAAAAAAAAATCACAATCTTTTTCAAAAGGTAAATAAACCTTACAGAGGGAATATCCAATGTACATATAATACTGAAATTCAATACTGACTTTTTTTTTTTTTTTTTGGTGAGACAGGGTCTCACTCCATTGCCCAGACTGGAGTACAGTGGAGTGATCATAGCTCACTGCAACCTCCAACTTCTAGGCTCAAGTGATCCTCCTGGCTTAGCCTCCCAAGTAGCTAGGACTATAGGCATGCACCACCACCACATCTGGCTAATTTTTCTATTTTTTGCAGAGACAAGGTCTTGATATATTTCTGAGGCTGGTCTTAAACACCTAGCTTCAAGCTAATCCTCCCACCTCAGCCTCCCAAAGTTCTGGGATTATATACAGAAGCAACTGCATAGCTGAGCACTGACTTTAAATCTTAAAACACAGACTATTTTAATGATCATGTAAGTGTCCTTGGGGAAGGTTGAAGGAATGAGGTTTTTTTTAATTTGTAAGAATAATTACCGGCATTAAATCTAAATAGGACTCTAGTTTTCTCTTCAGAGGTATAGTCTGTCGTTTTAACTCTGCCAATTTCTGAGGAAAAACACAAAATCACAGAGTAATAGAGATATTCACAATGCAATTAAATACTGTTTATTTCTGAAATAAAGCATTAACATTAGAATATTTTAAATAATGTATCAAAGAGCTTCAAAGATAAGTGGATAGACAAATCCACTTCCAATGGAAATAACACTTAACAGGAAAGTTATACTCTCATTTATTAAGAATAGGATTGAAGTATGCTGTCTAGGAATACAAAAGGATGTGATTAAGAGGAATCAAAATGTAAAGGAACATCTAGAGTTTCAAATCCCTAAGTATGGATTGTCAATTTAAGATTCCAAGAATTAAAGTATAAAAAACTTATGAATAAAACAAAATCTCTTGTTTTTCTCTCTTCTCAGCGAAATAGATAAAAAACCCTTATGCAACCTAAAAACTCAGAGTCGCATTTGGTAACTACAGGAGTTTGGGGACTTCCATTTTTACTGTACACTGAAAAAGAAGAAAGAGGAGCACCTAGATGGTTAACACATTGTCCCTCAATAAATTTGTTTAATAAATAAATCAAAATATATAACTGTCTCCAGCAAAGAGTTTCTAGCCTATAGTAATAAAGAAAGAAAACCAAACAAATGTGAAGATACATATAGCTAATAAAGTAATAAAGATATAGTGGTGAATGTAAAGTACAAAGGTATAGAAAGGAGATTAATACTAAATAAAAGCCCTATAAAAAGAAACAAATGAAAAATCAGATTGTGGACTGGTATTTTTCAAAAAGTGAAAATAAGCTCACCTCTGATAATGCTACTAGGGACTGATGAGACAGAGAAGCATCCATACCTCTGGCTGAAAGCTGCTCCTAGAATTACAAAAAAGGGGATTCAGTTAAAAAATTATTTTGGAAGTGACCATGAAATATTTTCAACACATAACACAGTACAGAGGAGCTACAAATCATAGATGAAAAACTATACATGCACCTAAGCACTTGCAGGTTACATGTGAATCCTTTCCACACTCACACATTTGTGACAAAATGAGTACAGTGCTTAAGGCCTGAGTTTCAGAGCCTGAATGCCTGAGTGTGAATCTGGATCCGCAGTTAAGTAGCTATGTAACTGTGGACATGTTACTTATCTTCTCTGTAGTCCTCTCATCTATAAAAAGGGAATAATAATACTGCCTAGTTGTGAGAATAATGGTCAAAAAGTCATCTGAAGAGAGCTAACTATATTCAATCTTTCATACAAACCTCTGCAGCTTTGATTTGAAATCTGAACTCCTCTGATTTTGCTTTCAGAAAGTCCATGTTCTGTAGACGATGGTCAACTTTGGCCCTCAATGTAGACAGATGCAACTCTGCCTTCTTGAGATCCCTTTGAAAAGTAAAATTAAAAACATTTTTTTCTTCTCCTCAGTAGAATTATTACCTGCTATTTTGGATTCAACTTTGGCTTAGCCAAGAGTAGATAACCCACTTACTGGATTCTCTATCATAAATTTTATATCCAAACTATCATGCATTCTTCTAGTTCATCTTCCCCTCCAACTGGGATTTTTCTCAAGGAATACAAAACAATTTTAAGATTAACATAAGCCAATTATTCTTAGAGAAAGGAAACCTGCCATTCAAAAAAAGTGATTTCATATATCCTAAAATCAATTGGAAATAGGAGGTTCCAAAGGCCTCTTACTCAATGTGACATGACATAGTGCCTTGCATACATGTATTCAATATTTGTTGAATAAATTTACACACCATAAAATTACTTATGCATATACATATGCCTGATCCACAGGCTCTCATCGCCAGTGCAACAAGGACCTAAAGAAGGCCCATAGCATGAAAAGAGGGATATCAGAGCTATAGTAAGAAAGCACAACAAAATATCATGTGACTTTAAGGTGTATGGTAGTTTATAAGTAAAAAAAATCACATACCTTTTGAAAATTATAAAACCCACGTTTGTAAAAAAACAACAAAAAAAGATATTGTATGAAGTAAAAGGTGAAAAAGTCTGTACTCAACCAACCCCCATTCCACTCAACATGTACTTAAAACATATTACAGACCCCCTTTCCTAATGTGTTTTTTAAATCATACCTACTATCAAAACTAAATTTGACAACATCTTGTTACTACTCCTTTATAATAAAAACCATCACCATTTTCAACTCCATTACCATTACTTACTCTCGTAGACATTTTTCTAATACTAAAGTTGCAGTTAGATTTTTTTCAACTTTTCCCAGTTCAAGCTTGATTTCTTCATTTTTAGATTTGGTACGAAAAAGATCAGAGGTCAAATCATTCACTGCAGGGATAAAACTAAAAGAAGACTCTGGTCACATAAATGGACATTAAGGACAACAATTATAATTTTTCCTCATTCCTAAGAATGATTTTATCTCTATGTGGATTCTTATATAACTATGCTGTTCATACTTTTATGCATTTTTTTACATACTGTTCCCATTGCCTGGAATGCTTTTCATCAGCTGGCAAAGTTCCATTTGTCAAGGAATATAAAACGATTTTATGATTAACTTTAGCCAATTATTCTTTTTTTTTTTTTTTTTGAGACAGAGTCTCGCTTTGTTGCCCAGGCTAGAGTGAGTGCCGTGGCGTCAGCCTAGCTCACAGCAACCTCAAACTCCTGGGCTCGAGCGATCCTTCTGTCTCAGCCTCCCGAGTAGCTGGGACTACAGGCATGCGCCACCATGCCCGGCTAATTTTTTTATATATATATCAGTTGGCCAATTAGTTTCTATTTATAGTAGAGACGGGGTCTCGCTCTTGCTCAGGCTGGTTTTGAACTCCTGACCTTGAGCAATCCGCCCGCCTCGGCCTCCCAGAGAGCTAGGATTACAGGCGTGAGCCACCGCGCCCGGCCTAGCCAATTATTCTTAAAGAAAGGAAACCTGCCATTCAAAAAAAGTGATTTAATATATCCTAAAATCAATTCAAAATAGGAGGTCCTGGACTTATCCCCATCCTGGAATTCACTGCCCCTTTCTCTGTGCTACCCAGCTACAGCTTGTACACTCTTGTACTGTTGCACCTGTAAGACTATGTTACACTTTTACATTTCTATCTCCCTTATTTGACCATGGGAAGAGACTGTCCCTGAAGGCTGTTACTATCCTATTCATCTCTGCTTCCTCAGTGCTTATCTGCCCAGCCTACAACTGGTATCTGCTGAACTGACTTCATTTTATATTTCTGCTGCCATATAGCCTACGTGTTCTTACACCTAAAACACTGCTCTTTCAACATATATAAAAATTGCCCTTAAATTGATGATTAGGCAGAAGAGCTATGCAGTTTTCTGATTATAATAAGTTGCAGTGTTAGTCCTAGCTAAGTTATGGCCAATAGTAACAGTCATATGAACTCTACAGTGAGACTGGGTTTGAATCTCAGCTCTGTCATTTACTAGATTGGAGAAGTTATTTAACTCACTGCTCTTGACCCACAGTTTCCTCTTAGGGTTGGTAGAAGAATCATGTCATTATAAAAGTAAAATGCCTGCTACAAAGAATGAAAGTCCCTAACTTACTCTACAAACAAGAAAGGACATGACCAAAATTTACTATGCTCAACCAGATGATGTAGCCTACTGCTTTTCTTATTGTGTACAGTGAACAATGTGATACCTAATCCCTTTCAAATAAATATACATGAGAATTGCCCTTTTCTTTTCTTTTCTTTTTTTTTTTGAGACAGAGTCTCACTTTATTGCCCAGGCTAGAGTGCGTGCCATGGTGTCAGCCTAGCTCACAGCAACCTCAAACTCCTGGGCTCAAGTGATCATCCTGCCTCAGCCTCCTGTAGCTGGATACAGCATGTGCCACTAATGCCGATAATTTTTTGTTATATATATTAGTTGGCCAATTATTTCTATTTATAGTAGAGGCGGGTCTTGCTCTTGCTCAGGCTGGCTCGAACTCCTGACTCGACAATCGCCCCTCAGCCTCCCAGAGTGCTAGGATTACAGGTGTGAGCCACCGTGCCCGGCCGAGAATTGCCCTTTTCAAACCTAATCCTGGAAAAATAAAACACTAAAAACTAACCTATACCAAATTTATCTGAAGTATAATTATACTCACAAAGATAAGAAGTAACTAAGTTCAGTTCTTTTGCATTTATTGTTAATTTCCTATATAGAATTACCCTGAGAACCAAAAAGTCCTTAGGTCAAGATCTTATATGATTGCAGAAATTAAAACTGTAACAAGAATTACCTAGTTAGTGAGGTATCCTTTGTTTCAAGGGCCACTGCACTGTCAACCAAAGCATTCAGATATCTGGAACCAGTGCTAGAGAGATTGGCAGGGGAAAAATTCACACTCTCCATGAGAAGGTCTTGAAGATGCTTGGCTAAAAAGATAAGAGTTCCATGGTAACTAAGATGTTTTCTTTGTGTTTTGTTTTTTAATTTTTTAACAGCTTTATTGAAATATAAACTCACATACCATATAATCCACTCCCCTAAGGTATACAACTCAATGATTTTAGTATATTCTGAGTTGTATTAATAGATCCATAAGCACAATCCATTTTAGAACATTTTTATCACCCCAAAAAGAAACCTATATCCCTTAGTCACTTTCCAATCTCCCATGAAGCACTAGCAACCATTTTCCTTTGCCTATTCATGACATTTCATACAAATGGTATCGTATGATATGTAGTCCTTTGTAACTGGCTTCTCTCACTTGGCATAATGTTCAAGGTTCATCCATGTCATAGCATGTATCAGTGTTTCATTCCTTTTTATGGCTGAATAATATTCCATTATATGACCAGATGCAATGGCTCACACCTGTAATCCCAGCACTTTGGGAGGACAAGGCAGGAGGATCACTTGAGGTTAGGAGTTCGAGACCAGCCTGAGCAAGACCCTGTCTCTACGAAAAATAGAAGAATTAGCTGGGTGTGTTGGTGCGTACTTGCAGTTCCAGCCACTTGGGAGGCTGAGGCAGGAGGATCACTTGAGCCCAGGAGTTTTGAGGTTGCAGTGAGCTACAACACCTCTGTACTCTAGTCCCAGGCAACAGAGTGAGACCCTGTCTCAAAAAAAAAAAATCCATTATACAAATATACCACATTTTATTTATCCATTCACCTACTAATGGACTACCAGACTGTTTTCCAAAGTGACTGTATAACTTTACATTCCTACCAGATGTGATGAGGGCTCCAATTTCTCTAAATCTTTTCTAACAGTTATTACTTGCCTTTTTTATTACAGTCACCCTAGTGAGTGTAAAGTGGCACTGTGGTTTTGATTTGCATATCTCTGATGGCTAATGATGCTGTGCTTTTTTGGCCATTTGTATATCTTCTTGGGAGAAATATCCATGACCCATTTTTTAATTGGGTCATCTTTTTATTATTAAGTCCTAAGAGTACTTTACATATTATAGATGCAAGTCCCAGATCAGATATATAATTTACAAATATTTGCTCCCATTCTGGGGGTTGTTGTCTTTTCATTTCATTGATGGTTTCCTTTGAGAACAAAAGTTTTAAATTTTGATGATATCTAATTTGCCTGTTTTTTCTTTTGTTCCTTGTGCTTTTGATATCATATCTAAGAAACCAATGCCCAATCCAAGGTCACAAAGATAGATACCAATGTTATCCAACGAGTTTTAGGTTTAGCTCTTAAATTTTTTAGGCTTCTTACTCATTTTGAGATAATTCTTATACATGGTGTGATTTAGGGTCCAACTTCATTCTTGTGCATGTGGATATCCAGTTGTTCCAGCACCATTTGTTAAAAAGACTATTTTTTTTCCTCCATTGAATTATCTTGTCACCCCTGTCAAAAAGCAATTGACTGGGAGATCAATTTCTAGCACAACAATGTGGGGTTCTGCTGAACTCTCAGTGAAACTGTAAATTATGAAAAAGAACCAAAACAAAATAAACCATTTAAAGTCTTTGGAATGGTCCTAAGGGCAAAAATGAAGAAAAACACCATTCAAGAAAATCTATAAGGAGTTCGAAACCAGCCTGAGCAAGAGTGAGACCTCGTCTCTACTATAAATAGAAAGAAAATTAATTGGCCAACTAATAATATATAAAAAATTAGCCGGGCATGGTGGCACATGCCTGTAGTCCCAGCTACTCGGGAGGTGAGCAGGAGGATCGCTTGAGCCCAGGAGTTTGAGGTTGCTGTGAGCTAGGCTGACGCCACGGCACTCACTCTAGCCTGGGCAACAAGTGAGACTCTGCTCAAAAAAAAAAAAAAAAAAAAAAAAGAAAATCTATAAAACTCAGTAAGGAAATTTAGAATTTGTGATATTTGAAGCAAGAGTATTCCTTCCCTCCTCCCTTCCAGTCACTGAGGCAGAGACTCCACTCCAGACCTCTGCAGTGAAGAACACAGGGCTTCCTCTGCCCCCAGCTCCTACGTGGAGAGCTTTCTTTCTGGAAGGAGCAAGGCTTTAGTTTTTCTCATCCTGCTGCCAGCTAACTGTTGCTTAATCTCAGTCTCAGGGTAATGTGGTTGAGAGGTGTGTCCACCCAGCATTGCTCTTGGAATGGAAAGTCTACCTTAAGTGAGGCATGCTGAGAATACTGGGGCCCTAACTGCTCTTGCACTGGCTGGTGAGGTAGTGGCTCCACACCAGGAGAGGCAAGCCAAGAGGACCTATGGCTGTTGCATTCCCTCTCACTGGGTATCACCCACAGAGAAACTTGACATTTATCCTACCCTAACAAGTCATAAACACATGGTTTCTCATATCTTCCCAAGGAAACCAACTTCACTTGCAACAGAGCCTGGAGAGGTTTAAGCCTAAGGTCCTCTCAAAAGCAGTGGAAGTTGTGGTAAAAGGAATTGGGAACAGAGTCAAGATACAGGCTAACTTAGATCAGGCTGAGCGTGGTGGCTCATGCCTGTAATTCTAGCACTCTGGGAGGCTGAGGCAGGCGGATTGCTCAAGATCAGGAGTTTGAAGCCAGCCTGAGTCAGACCCCGTCTCTACTAAAAATAGAAAGAAATTAATTGGCCAACTAATATATGTAGAAAAATTAGCAGGGCATGGTGGCGCCTGCCTGTAGTCCCAGCTACTCGGGAGGCTGAGGCAAATGTCAAACTGACCTCAGAAAGTATTCCTTTAAGAATAAATAGAGAAAGGGTATTTCTGTGTTACCCAGACTGGTCTTGAAGTCCTGGCCTCAAGAAATCCTCCCACCTGGGCATCCCAAAGTCCTGAGATTATAGATGTGAGCCATCGTACCTGGCTTATAATGCATTTTAATAACTACAAAAATAAAATTATTAAAAACAAAACAATTTTAATAGCACATATATGGGAGAATGTGGCTACAAAGGAGTAGCACAGGGGATATTTTTGGAGTGATGGAACTGTTCTGCATGCTGATTGTGGTTCCTGATTGTAGGGATGGTTCTAGGCCCTGCATATTAAACAGTACACAAGGCGGGGCAGTGGCTCACCCTTATCATTTGGCCTTACTGTTTGCTCCAGCAGTACCAATAAAGCATTTGCTATAATGAAATTATAATTAGAAGTTACTATATAACAGAGTAGAAGACAATCTGGGTAAAGAAACAAAACAATATCTATACACTAAATAATCTTGAATACTTTAGTGTTAATTTGGTTCCTTTTTTATCTCATTCAAAACTCTGTACTTAATCTCACCTTCTGATTCATATTCACTTGCTTTCTGCTTCAAGTCCTCTATTACCAGGTGGACGTCCCTGTCCCGGACCCTGTTGCGTTCTGAAAGGTGATATAAAATCTCTGTGGTCCGTGGGTTCACCTCATACTGTGGAATGGTGATGCGCATTATATTTTTTTAACCATGTGGCAACCTAACCATATAAAGAAAGACTATCATGGGTGTCAACTTAAAGAAAAATAAAAAAGAAAGACAAATACTATAAGCTTGTTTAATGTAATAGCGTGACAGAAATACATGAAGTGATCAAAAGCAAACTTTTACACTTTTCTAATGCTTTCTATGATTATTTGGCATCCTACCTCCACATTCTCCATTGTCTTTAGGGAGATATTAGATAATAATAACTTACAAAGTGAGCAACCACATGGAACAGTACAAGAGTCAAATCACCAGAGATCGCCCAGCGGCGCGGTGGCTCACGCGCTCTAATCCTAGCACTCTGGAGGCCGAGGCAGGAGGATTGCTTTGAGCTCAGGAGTTCGAGACCCGCAAGAGAGAGACCCCTCTCTACTATAAATAGAAATTAGCCAAAACAACTAAAAATAGAAAAATTAGTCCGCACGGTGGCGTGTGCCTGTAGTCCCAGCTACTCGAGAACTGAGGCAGGAGGAGGATCTCTAGAGCACAGAGTTTGAAGTTGCTGTGAGCTAGGCAGACGCCAGGGCACTCTAGCCCAGGAAAGAAGAGAGTGAGACTCTGTCTCAAAAAAAAAAAAAAAAAATCACCAGAGAACAATCCATTCTTTCCCAAAGCTACAAAAGAAGTAGAGGCTAATAATTTGTCTCATTTGAAAAACCTTAAAGCGTAACACGCGGGTGCCAAAGCACTAATATACGTGCACGGCCTGAAAAAAGAGTTGTCCCTAACACACCACGAGCCCCGCAGTGCCGGGAACCCCCACAGTTGGGATGCGGGACGCGGCAGCAGCTCAGGTGTGACAACAGCAGGAATCAGCAGTGACCGGGGAGGGCTGGCTGGAGGTGGGTCTGGGTTCAGAAGCCCCACTCCAGTCCGTTCCGAGGTTTCGTTCTTGGGGCTGCTCAACGCCTCTCTTAGCCCGGGTCCAAGGAAGGGAAAGGCCCTTCTAGGAGAGTCTAAGCAGAAGCGGCTTGCAGACCTGAGGGCGGCACTAAAAATGGACGTGTGGAGTAGGGGACAGGAAAAGTAGACGTGGCGCACGCAAAGGATCTGCTACGACACAGGTGTGTCAAAGATGCATTTTCCAGGAGGGAAATTCCCGCTCCCGTCAGGTCACCTGAGCTTCTTTCTCCTCCTGCGACTCCATAGCTGCCGCTCCCGCTCCCGCCACTTCCCGCGGAACTCCTCGCGGGACAAGCGTCCCGCTCTCTCTACGGCCCCGCCCATACGCATTTGGCCCCGCCCCTCGCCGGGCCGGGATTTCTGGGAGTTGTGGTTTTTACTCGGACTCGAGGCAGCGGAGCCCTCAGACAGGGGTCACTTCTCTTGCCCCCTCCCCGCTCTCTCCGCCCTCCTCCGTATAATCTTAAGGTTGAAAAGTAGAGTCGCCTGGACTGGGCTGTTTTTTCTTTCTTTTATTTTTCTCACTTGAATCACTTGTATTAAAAAAAGTACCTGAAACGTTTGGTTCTTGGTTAGCAGATGTTTGTGTTTGTTCAACATTGATTACATAAACTCAGAATTTTTATTCTATTCTACTCTGGCAATATAAGCTGAGGCAATCTTAACCTTATCCGTTAGTTCCCATTATCAAGGAGCTAAATACGCAGAGAATGTTTTAAAATAGTTAACAGCATGGATCGACTGAGATTGTCCCTGCTGCTCAGCCATTCTTCCATTCCATAAAGTTCTCTTCTCCCTCCATCACTCTGTATTTAACACTATGAGAGGTTCTTTATACAGGAATGTAAAATTTTCTATGTTTTTATATTTTTGTTTCATTCTTAAGGGACAATGTAAAATAGGTAGACACGCATTATTTTACGCATTTTCACATTAACACACACACACAGATTAAATGACTTGACCAAGATTAACACACACACACACACACAAACAAAGATTAAATGACTTGACCAAGATTAACACACACACACACACAGATTAAATAACTTGATGAAGATTAGGTAGTAGACCTGGAACCTGACCAATGTGTTCTGCCTCCAATTGCATGTTTCAGTCTCCACACTGCCACCCACAACCTCCTATAGTGTACTGTTACTAGGAAAAGTAGATGGCTTAAAGGAGGACCATTTACTCAACTTTCTATGTTGTGTGGTTTAATATTAGATTGTAGATCAGGAGTTTGAGACCAGCCTGAGTGACAGTGAGACCCCTTGTCTCTACAAAAATTAGAAAAATCAATGGGGCATGGTGGTGCAGGCCTGTAGTCCCAGCTGCTCAGGAAGCTGAGGCAGGGGATCACTCTAGCCCAGGAGTTTGAAGTTGCAGTGAGCTATGATGACACCACTGCACTCTAGCCAGAGCAGAAAAAGTATGACTCTGTCTAAAAAAAAAATATATATATATATATTGTGGATCAGGCTTAGAACCAAATACCTTTCTCCTAAGTCATTTGCATATTTAAAATGATTTTCCTTTCAAAGAAATGTAGCCTCACTCTTTCACCCAGGCTGGAGTACAGTAGGAGAATCATACCTTACTGCAACCTGGAACTCCTGGGCTCAAGTGATCTTCCCCACTTGGCCTCTCAAAGAGTTGGGATTACAGGCGTGAGCCACGACACTGATCCCTTGTCCACTTTTATCAGTACAAATTTTACAAAATATTCCTGCAATTTTGTTGCTTTTACAAACCATATTTTTTCCTGTTAGCCTATTTCTGACCCTGATTCCCAGAAGAGTTATCATATTTCCCATGGCTCACTTTGAAAAGGAAGGAGAATATTAGAGAAAAGAATTGCTGACTATGCATTTGCAAGCCATATTTCAGGAGATGACCCTTTTAACCTAGCTACTTATATGTCTGCCCCAAATTAAAGTTTAGGGTGTAAGCCAAGACTTGGTAAACGGAGCTAAAAGATACTTCTCGGAAAAGTTACAAGTGAAGAGAACATTAATAGTCTCCACTATCACATATACTTAGCATCTCATACACACAAAAATTCTGCACATATCACAAAAATGTCAGCATTATAAAAATTCTGTAGGGGAAAAGCCCCTCCCCAATCTTATAGGATAGGTATAAAAAGAGTTTTTCATGATTGCCATTTTAAGAAAAAGTCAAGTCACCAATGTCATAAAACAAGTTGCTGGCAGAGGAAAACTTGAGCTCCAGTCAGGTCTTGCGTGACACTTCTGATTCTGGATCATTCTTCTCAGTAGGATTGGCAACCACGCTGCTAGCATTCCTTGTGATCGTTCGAATTTTTAAGCAGGTTGCTCCAATTTCGACGAGATCGAATCTAAAATAACTGCGATTCTCTGAGTGCTATCGATCACCTGGAATTGTGTGGGTGTTCGTTAAAAATTCAGATAGCCCCAAATTTTAGACTCAGAGGGTTGGGGTCGGGGCACAACCTGAGGATTAACTGGCTCCGCGGAAGACGCCATGAGAATGGCCCATTCGCGGAGACAACCGTTCAGTGTTGCTACACGGGCTAAACCAAGGTTCAACACCACGGACACTATGAATGCCCTCACCCTCAAGCCAGCCGCGCCCCCGACAGGGTGACACCCACATCAACTCGCACCGACGGGGCTTGGAACTGCTGCTTAACAGGTTCCGCTACCCACGTGGTCTCCCGGGGCAACCACAAAGTCGATTGGAAAGACCAAAATAAATGTGTGACGAATGGCAGGCCCAAAGCTGGCAAATATCGAATCATTCCTTTTGAGGTTTAAACTTAAAAATAATATTTAAAAATTAAGTAGCCTGCCAAAAAAGGCAGATTTGCGTCCGGAGGTGAAAGCGAGGGGCGGTACTTCCGGGTCAGGTGGGCCGGCTGCCGTGACCTTCCTCTCCGTTCGGCCATTTTGTCCCAGTCAGTCCCAAGGCTGCGGCTGCAGAGGAGCTGCTTGCGGATAAACTGCAAAGATGCTGTCCGTGCGCGTCGCTGCGGCCGTGGCCCGCGCCCTCCCTCGGCGGGCGGGGCTGGTGAGCACCGAGGGCCGGCGTTGGGGGCGGCCCGGCGGGACTGCAGCGGGTGGTGGTGCGCCGGCTCGGGAGCTCTTTCTGCAGGACGTTAGGGGCTGTGGCGGGCGTCGCCATCTTGCACCCGTGGCTGCTCGGGCTAGGCAGAATAGGCGACGGAGGGGCTCTTTTGCTCGCCACCTGTGCAGGATGAGACAGAGGGGTACAGGGGAGACAGTGATCTCGATGTTGTCCAGAAACAGGGCCTCGGGATTCTTGTCTTCGGCCAAGGGCGGCCCGACTAGGGGTCTTGAGTGAAGGTCAGAGTTTGGTCTCTGGTTTTCCGAGGCCTGCTTCGAAACGGGGAGTGTCCTCCCCGCTGATTCTCCGGGTCCTGTCCCACTGGAGGTTACGAGGGCTGCTGTCAGCTCTTGTTGAAGTGAGTCAGAGAAACCTGACATTGTATGAAGGTCAGCAGGCCCCGGCATTCCACCGGTGCCCAGAGGTGAGTTCGGAGCAAAGGAATAAATGAAAATGGTTTTTCAAATACCCAAGTAGGCGATCTCTTAGTGCTGAATATTAAAGCTACCGAGAAAGCGCCGTGCAGATACAAAGAAGCATTTCATGTGGCCAATACTGTGACAACAATGAAGCTGCAGTCCCAGTCTGGCAGAAAAAAGACTTTGCTATGTGGTACTTTGACATGTTTAAAGAATTTGTCCTTGAGTCGTCCACCTGATGTCTTGAGGAATTGTTAGTGATTGAGAATTCAAGTAAAGTAGAACATAAGGTTGGAAAATGCCTGTAAGGGTCAATACCCTTCGTTACTTACCTCCCTTGAAGTTAAGAACATAACCCTTGAGTTCTATGTAAAGGTATTGGTATTTGCTTATTTTTTTAATTTTAAAAATGATCTCAATTTGAAAGATGACATAAACGTACTGGCTATTTTGCTGTCCTCACAGGACCGCTTGGTTTTCTGTTGACAAAAAAGCATTTTTAACAATTTTCGTCTAGCTCCTATAGAAGATAGTAGTTTCAGAATTGACAGTGACCAGTCACAGCATTAAAACTTGAAGGAAGGAGAAAGGGGGGTCCAGGTTCCAGATTGCTGCGGGATTTGTTGAAGTCAATGCGACATGCCATAACTCTTAGTTTCTAAACTAACTCTAGCATTTATTTACGAACAGTTTTTGTTCCTTTGCTTTTGTATATTTGTTCCGTTGTCCATGCTGGAGTACAGTGGCACAATCATAGCTCATTGCAGCCTTGAACTCCTGGGCTCAAGCAATTATCTTGCCGCAGTCCTCTCCAGTTGCAGGGAATACAGGCATGAGCTACCATGCCCAGCCTATTTATTCTTTTTTTAAATTTTTTAAAAGCAAAATTGGAAATATATTGAGATTTGCCCCTGTAGGAAGCAGTTTATCTTATTGAGAATTTTTACAACTCATTTGAAATAAATCTAAAGTCAAAATAATAGTATCTAGATGCCTTTAGAGGGAAAGACACTTAAGACTTTAACAGTTGCTTTTTAAAATAGATATTGTATGTTAAAAATAAGCTTTTTATAGCGTATTTAATGTGTACTAGGAACTGCATAATAGATATATCAACAGGTATTTTCCCATGTGATTAATATTTTTAGTTGGCCAATTAATTTCTTCCTGTTTTTAGTAGAGATGGGGTCTCGCTCTTGCCTAGGCTGGTCTCGAACTCATGACCTTGAGCAATCTGCCCGCCTCGGCCTCTCAGAGTGCTAGGATTACAGGTGTGAGCCACTGCACCTGGCCACACTTGTCAGTTTTATAAAGGCTTTTTTAAAAATCAAGTTTTAATGCATGTGTTTGCACTAGGTCTCCAGAAATGCTTTGGGTTCATCTTTCATTGCTGCAAGGAACCTCCATGCCTCTCATACTCATCTTCAGAAGACTGGTAAGTTATCATTTCTCAGTTTACACCACACTTAATATCTTATTTTTTTATTTTTTTTGAGACAAGAGTCTTGCTTTGTTGCCTAGGCTAGAGTGAGTGCCATGGTGTCAGCCTAGCTCATAGCAACCTCAAACTCCTGGGCTCAACTGATCCTACTGCCTCAGCCTCCCTAGTAGCTGGGACTACAGGCATGCACCACCATGCCTGGCTAATTTTTTCTATATATATTAGTTGGCCAATTAATTTCTTTCTATTTATAGTAGAGACATGGTCTCATTCTTGCTCAGGCTGGTTTCGAACTCCTGACCTCAAGCAATCCACCCGCCTCGGCTTCTCAGAGTGTTAGGATTACAGGCGTGAGCCACTGCGCCCGGCCTAATAACTTATTAAATGAAGACATAAATTATATGTCTTTTATAATTGTTGTGGGTTGTTTCATACTTGTTAATTTTTTCTTTCATTTTTAGTTGCTACAGAATCTCAGTTTCTTAAACCATAATGTGCCATTTAGCCCTGTCTCGGTAGGTTCTCTTATTCTAGTGAACTGAGCTATAGTTATATATTTCTCTTTTTGATATTAACACAGCTTCTTCTGATAATGCCCCTTGGGTGGAAGCAAAGTATACATACTAGATAGTGGAATCTTTTTGACCTCTGAAAGATTCCTTTTTTCCTCCTACAAAGCATTAGAAAAAAGTAATTCATACTGATAGGTTTTTAAAAAAAGGCAATAGCTGCTACTCTATGTTTGATAATCTGTGAATTTTAGATGTGATAGTGAAGTGGGAAGGTGAGCATAGGAAGATTCTATAGGTTGGGGAATTTCTTTTGAGGTGTGTACTGGGGCTTTTTAACAGAAGGTTAAATATATGTTTGTATTTATGTATACACACACATGCACACACAAAGCACAGTATATATTGCCCACATGCTAAGATGAAAAGTAGTACCTGGGTACCTTTTTTTTTCCTTTAAGAGATGGATGGTTTTTTTTTTTTTTTTAATTTAATTCATTTATTTTTGAGACAGAGTCTTCTATTGCCCGGGCTAGAATGCAGTGGCATCAGCCCAGCTCACAGCAACTTCAAAATCCTGGGCTCAAGCTATTCTCTTCCCTCAGCCTCCCAGGTAGTTGGGACTATAGGCATGTCCCACCACGCCTGGCTAATTTTTTCTATTTTTAGTAGAGATGGGATCTCGAACTCCTGAGCTCAAGCAATCCTTCATCGTTGGCCTCCCAGAGTGCTAGGATTACAGGCGTGAGCCACCTCACCCGGCCAGTACCTGGGTACCTTTAAAGGGAAAGATACTTAAACTTTGTTAACAGTTGATTTTTTAAATTGAATTGTCCTCAATAGGCGCTGCTGAGATGTCTTCTATTCTTGAAGAGCGTATTCTTGGGGCTGATACCTCTGTTGACCTTGAAGAGACTGGGCGTGTCTTAAGCATTGGTGATGGTATTGCCCGTGTACATGGGCTGCGGAATGTTCAAGCAGAAGAAATGGTAGAATTTCTTCGGCTTAAAGGTAAATTATAAAATGAAGTTTTGGTGTTTTCATATCGTGTCTTCTTAGTTGATTTAGCAATTCAGAGATTATGTCAGATTTTTAAAAACTTTAAGCTCAATTTTGCCGAGCTTTTTTTTCTTGTCATTATAGATTGTAAAGAGAATAAACTTAAGAATTTTGGTTAGCTAGGTTTTTTACCCTGGGAAGTGATTTATACTTAAGTTGTAGCAACTGGTTCCAAAATACAAAATTGAGTAAACTTTCACTCACATTACAAGAAGTTCAAGTATTCATTGTAGCTGTTAAGATAACTTAAACTAAATTCATTTCTTGTTGAAAGTCAGTGACTTTGTGTTTCTAGTAAGAGCAGACACACTTATTGGTTGAGAGATGAGTTAGTGGTATAGCTATCAGAGGCTGTCTAATGACACAAGTCCACTTCTTTCTATTGGGTTGAGCCTAGTTAGCCAGTGGGATGAGAAATAAAAGTTGTTGAATCTTGGTCTCTGAGGAAAGCAGAAGATAATATTGGACCAGGGCAGTAGGCTACCTACTAAACACACAGATATGGGAAAGAATAATCTTGATCCTCTTGCTAGTATGCAGTATGGAAAAGAAACACTTGATATGGAAGACTAATTATAGATTCCAAAGTTATCATTAGTTGTAAGACCTGCCAAAAGTTTACACTCTCTTATCTTCAATGTACAGTATAATTTTGAAAGTGAGGATGAAATAGAAGAACTCTTGAGTTGCCTTTTAGCTTTTATGTCCAAATATCTAGAACAATACTGTCAAATAGAACTTTCTGCAGTGATGAAAATACTCTGTCTGTGCTATTTATTTATTATTTATTTGAGACAGAGTCTCACTGTATGCCTAGGCTAGAGTGCTGTGGCATCAGCCTAGCTCACAGCAACCTCAAACTCCTGGCTCAAGCATCCTTCTGCCTCAGCCTCCCGAGTAGGGCTACAGGCATTCACCACCATGGCCAGCTAATTTTTTCTATATATTTTAGTGCCAATTAATTCTTTCTATTTTAGTAGAGACAGGGTCTCACTCTTGCTCAGGCTGGTTTCGAACTCCTGACCTTGAACAATCCTCTCACCTCCAGAGTGCTAATATTACAGGCATGAGCCATGTCTGTGCTGTTTAATATGAAATAACTATACATATGTCACTATCAAGCATGTAAATTGGCTAGTGTGACTGAGGAAGTGAATTTTAATATTTTAAACTGGACATTTAAATTTAAATAGACACATTTGTTGGTGGATACTATATTAAACATTAGGATACTGACTAACGTTTTTGAACCTGCAGTGATATTCTGTATTTATTGTAAGCACTTCCCAGAGCTTTTTTTTTTTTCCTTCCAAAGCTGTGAATTCCCAGAGCTTTCATTATGTAGACTCTGTTGCACTGTAACAGTCTTTTTGCATCAGATACGATTTAGGAGCTAAAATAAGGTTGTAATGATTAGAGATGACTTGTTGCTGTTAGGAAAATTTGTTCTTGATGGCTACAATAATAAGAGTAGCTTCAGTTTCACTTTTTACTAACCTGAGGAATGTAGTTTTCTTTTATATTTTTTCTTTTTAATTTTTTTCTCCCTTCTTATGTAGGTTCTGATTAGATAATTCCTGACCACTTATTTCATACTGATCACTCAGCTCAAGAGCTGATTTCTTTGCTGCTTCAATTCTTTGGGATGTAATAGCATGTTAGCTTATCATAATGGTAAGATTATTGAAGGAACATGTTGCTATTTTAAGTAAGTCCTGACCAAAGAAGGTTGTTTGTTAGTGGAAAAATACTGTGGAATAAACCAGATGAAAGGACAATTCCTCCCTTCTCCGGGCTATTTTCTTGTCTTGCAGTATTGTGTATTGGAGAGAGTTCCCTCTAGCTTCATTGGTGTTCAATTGTGTCTTTTGTGCAGGGTATTTCTCTGAACTTGGAACCTGACAATGTTGGTGTTGTCGTGTTTGGCAATGATAAACTAATTAGGAAGGAGATATTTGTGAAGAGGACAGGAGCCATTGTGGATGTTCCAGTCGTGAGGAGCTGTTGGGTCGTGTAGTAGATCCCTGGTAATGCATTGATGGAAAGGTAGGTTTAATGTTTATTAGAGGTGGTTGTAGCTTCTAACAAACATTAAAACTGGTTATTCCGAGAGTTCCTTTTTATTTTTTTCTTTTACAGGGTCCAGTTGGTTCTAAGACCGTAGGCGAGTTGGCCTGAAAGCCCCTGGAATCATTCCTCGAATCTCTGTGCGGGAACCAATGCAGACTGGCATTAAGGCTGTGGATAGCTTGGTGCCAATTGGTCGTGGTCAGCGTGAGCTGATCATTGGTGACAGACAGACTGGTAAAGACCCAAGCATGTTAAAGTTCTAACTAAAATTGGTCTATAAAAGATTATTTTTTAGTCTTGTAATGGTAAATGCTTGGATATAATGGGGACAGTAGAATGTGTTATCAATAGTAGTGAAATTTTATCTGGGAAATCCTTTGTAGTATTTAGGAAGATTTATATTACTTCTCTTTTTTAAAGTAAAATCTTCAATTCTATTGACACAATCATTAACCAGAAACGATTCAATGATGGAACTGATGAAAAGAAGAAGCTGTACTGTTCTATGTTGCATTGTCAAAGAGGTCCACCGTTGCTCAGTTGGTGAAGAGACCTTACAGATGCAGGTATTAAAGACTTAAGTCCCAGGCTATATCTCAAGTCCTATTGCTGTTCATCTTAGAACAGCTTCTGCAAATCAAGACTGATTTTCATTACTCTCTAATGAGCTGAACTTTCTAATATAAAATCAATAAAAAAAAAGTAAAAATAAATAAAAACCAATACATATAAAAGGTTTGGCAGTTTTCTTAAAGCGGAAGCTATTTGATCTGGTAATAATCTTAGTAGTAGATCTTTTAGTAATTGGTAAATTTAATTATAGTAGCCTCTAAAATCATAATATGATAACTTTGTAAACTTAAAATATGTTTCTCCTCAGATGCCATGAAGTACACTATGTGGTGTCAGCTACAGCTTCTGATGCTGCCCCACTTCAGTACCTGGTCCTTACTCTGGCTGTTCCATGGGAGAGTATTTAGAGATAATGCAAACATGCTTTGATCATCTATGACGACTTATCCAAACAGGTCAAGGAATACATTTTTATAATCTGTTTACGCTGTGATGAAAGTTCACAGATGCAGCCTCCTGCTTAGTAGAGAATTTAACAACCCTTTTCTGTACCATAGCTGTTGCTTACCGCCAGATGTCTCTGTTGCTCCCGACCCCTGGTCGTGAGGCCTATCCTGGTGGTGTTCTACCTGCACTCCCGGTTGCTGGAGAGAGCAGCCAAGATGAACGATGCTTTTGGTGTGGCTTCCTTGACTGCTTACCAGTCATAGAAACACAGGCTGGTGATGTGTCTGCTTAACATTCCAACAAATGTCATTTCCATCACAGATGGACAGGTACTTTTTTAATGATTAGGTGTAAAAAAGGTTGGATAATTCAAGGCATTGGTTGAGACTAGTAGTTATTAACTGATTTGTTAAATGCCTTTTATTTTATTATGGAAAACTCCAATGTATACAAACTAATGAGAATAGTAAATGAAACCCCCCAATATCGTCACCCAATTAACATTTTATGAAATAGTGCACTTCATTTGTGTTTCATTTATCTCATTACTGTTCTTTCTTGCTTGATAGTTTTGAAGCAAATTCCAGAGATCATATCATTTCACCTGCATATATTACAATATAAATTAAGTTACAGTTTTTCTCATCTCATACATACCTCTTCATTGGCAATAGGATAATAAGTCAATTTGGGTTGTGAAGATTTAGGAATTGACACTTCACATTCTTCCTTAGTTTTGGGGTTCAGCGTTTTGGCATAGTGACTTAATTTGAAAATAATTAATTCTTATTTTAAGCTTGCTAACATATCCCCTTACATTATAGATCTTCTTGGAAACAGAATTGTTCTACAAGGGTATCCGTCCTGCCATTAATGTTGTTGTTCTGTGTCTCGTGTCGGATCGCTGCCCAAACCAGGGCTATGAAGCAGGTAATTTGGCGTCACTTGGTAGGAAGGAGGATATCATTTGATATACATCTAAAGATTATATTTGAGTAGTGCTCTGTGTCACTGAGTTACAGTCCAATAATGTTATATTGCAGGTGGCAGGTACCATGAAGCTGGAATTGGTCAGTATCGTGAGGTTGCTGCTTTTGCCCAGTTCGGTTCTGACCTCGATGCTGCCACTCAACAACTCTTGAGTCGTGGTGTGCGTTTGACTGAGTTGCTGAAGCAAGGACAATATTGTGAGTTCTTTTCTTCATTTGCCCAAGTTCCTACTGTGTTAGGGTCTCATCAGGTCTGCAGAGCTATGTCACATCAGACTTTAATACCTGCTGTTGCCTTTCATCAGAGGTCATGCCTTTTAGATGTAATTAATGCCCATTGTACTTACCCAAAGTACAGTTCTTAGCACCATTTGAATGTCAATACAATGGACTTAACTGGGGAAACTTAGTATATTTAATACCTTCTTATCAGGAATTGAGACCTATTATTGTCCTCTGCCCCTTTGCTAAAGGAGTGTGAAATTTGGCAGATTTAAAAGAATGTTAGTGTATTTTTACCTTGCCAAATAATTTCAGCAAACTGTTTATACCCCCCAAACAATATAAACACTGCCAGATAAATAGAGCTTATGGACTATGCCCAAAGATTACACTTCAGGGTTTGCAAATAGAAGTAAGGACTGTTTCCTGGAGAGAGGTGGGAAGGACTATTAATTGGAGTTCTAAGTTGCTCATAATGTGAAGCGTGGGTGGTATTAATATATAGAAACATGTTAATAATGGGGGGGAGTAATTTCTCTGACTTTAGTAAGGTGGCATTTATTTGTTTGAGCAACTCATTGGCATTGTTTTGTTTCTTTTCAGCTCCCATGGCTATTGAAGAACAAGTGGCTGTTATCTATGCAGGTGTAAAAGGATATCTTGATAAATTGGAGCCCAGCAAGATCACAAAGTTTGAGAACGCTTTCTTGTCTCATGTTGTCAGCCAGCACCAAAGCCTGTTGAGCACTATCAAGTATGAACATAATTAATGTCCTCTTTTTGTAAAGTTATGTTTTAAGATACAAGTCTTGTTAAAATTCTTTTTTTTTGGAGACACAGTCTTGCTCTGTTGCCTCTGTTTTATTTTGAAAACAACCAAGGTTATTTTTTCTATTTTTAGTAGAGATGGGTCTCCTTCTCGCTCAGGCTAAAATTCTTTTCAGTTCTGTGGTTAGGCTAGTCATTGAGATTCTGTCTAGATCAGAACTGATGATCTGCTTTTGTTTTCCAAATAGGGCTGATGGAAAGATCACAGAAGAGTCAGATGCAAAGCTGAAAGAGATTGTAACAAACTTCGTGGCTGGATTTGAAGGATAAACTCCTATGGATTTACATCTGTTGCTAGTTTGGTTTGTCATTATTTCTTCTAGTAAATCAGTTCCATTTGTAAAAGTATTACTGTCAAACTCCTGATGTACAGAAATCACGTTAAAAATAAAAGTTCCATATTGTGTGGTAGATTTCTCTAGTGTGTTATTTAAAACTGAGATCATGTTAAGGACTTGTTGAACACGCTTCTTAACCTATTTCACTTGAATATTGGTACAATTCAAGGCTGAGCTCTTTGCACGATTCTAGAATAGTTTGTGATTGGTGAAAGAGAAATGCATAAATGTATATTGAATACATGTGGTAAGTGGATATTATTGAAGAGCACGACTGGCTCCTCTGCCCAGACTTACCTACATAAAAGAGGTACTGTAGGCAAGAAAAGGATAGGACAACTAACAAACATTCTCAAGGAAAGGAAAAAATTGCAAAGTATGAAAAAATTGTAAAGTATGAAAAATGGGTACAAAAAACTGAGGAGACGGCAGAATGAATAAAATTTTGAAAACTTGTCAATTTCTCATGTAATTTGTTTATTTTAATATAACCTTTCACAAGTAAGCAGTTCTTAATTATAATGTAATCAAACTGATCAGTATTTTATTTTTGGTCTTATTTAGGAGCTCTCCACAATCACAAAGATAACTATGTTTTCTGCTAGGTATTAAAAGATTTTAAAGTTGTAAAAGTTAGCTTTTGTCATGTAGGAGCTTAATTCATGTATTAGAGTTCTCCAGAGAAAGAGAACCAATAGAGTGTTTATTATATACACAGAAGGGTAAGCAGGGCAGGTGGGCAGACTGGAGACCCAGGTGAGGTGTTAGGCCTTCAACTAGATGAGGCCCAGCCATATTGTGGAGGGTAATATGCTTTACTCAAAGTCTACTGATTTAAATGTTGATCACATCTAAAAAATTGAACAGCAACATCTAGACTGGTGTTTGACCAAACACTAGGTATTATAGTGTGATGTTGTGATATAATAAATATATTTTTTATTTTAATTCCCATTTCCTGGCATAGAGCTTCTAAAACCCTTGGACTCTATGATGTGTCTTTTTTCATGCTAATGAGGTAACCCATCGTGAGCTTGGTCTTGGATAGTCTCTGGATGTGGTCTTGTTGCCAGGGATACCAACCACATGATTAGATGGACGGGACTTACAGCCTTTTCTTCCCATAAGACCAAAAATAAAATACTGATCAGTTTGATTACATTATAATTAAGAACTGCTTACTTGTGAAAGGTTATATTAAAATAAACAAATTACATGAGAAATTGACAAGTTTTCAAAATTTTATTCATTCTGCCGTCTCCTCAGTTTTTTGTACCCATTTTTCATACTCTACAATTTTTTCATACTTTGCAATTTTTTCCTTTCCTTGAGAATGTTTGTTAGTTGTCCTATCCTTTTCTTGCCTACAGTACCTCTTTTATGTAGGTAAGTCTGGGCAGAGGAGCCAGTCGTGCTCTTCAATAATATCCACTTACCACATGTATTCAATATACATTTATGCATTTCTCTTTCACAAAAAAAAAAAAAAAAAAAGAGGCTCAGTTAATCACTAATGGCCAGTGAATTAATCAATCAATCATGTCTATGTAATGAAGCCTCTGTAAAAAGCCAAATGGACAGGGTTCTGAGAGCTTTCAGGTTGCTGCGAGCTACGGGAGGGTGGTGGGCCCAGAGAGGCATGGGAGCTCCAAGCCCCTTCTCCCATACTTGCCCTGTAGTCTCTTCCATCTGGGTGGCTGTGAGTTGTATCCTTTTAAAATGAATACGTAATCTAGTAAGTAAACTGCTTTCCCAAATTCTATGAGCTGTTAAATGATCAAACATGAGGGAGCATTATGATAACTGATTTATTGCAAGTTGGTCTGAAGCACAGGTGATAACCTGGATTTGCCATTGGTGTCTGGAGCAGGGGACAGTCTTGTGAGACTGAGTCCTCTTTGCTCTGTTGCCTGGGCTAGAATGCAGTGGTGTAATCATAGGTTACAGTAACCTCAAACTTCTGGGCTTAAGTGATCTAGCTAGGATTGGTATCCACAGAGAATTAGAGAACTTGCTGTGGGGGAAAAAGCACAGTTCTCATGTCAAAAAGTAAAATATTGGCCGGGCGCGGTGGCTCACGCCTGTAATCCTAGCTCTCTGGGAGGCCGAGGCGGGCGGATCGTTTGAGTTCAGGAGTTCAAAACCAACCTGAGCAAGAGCGAGACCCCCGTCTCTACTATAAATAGAAAGAAATCAATTGGCCAACTAATATATATACAAAAAAATTAGCCGGGCATGGTGGTGCATGCCTGTAGTCCCAGCTACTCAGGAGGCTGAGGCAGCAGGATCGCTTGAGCCCAGGAGTTTGAGGTTGCTGTGAGCTAGGCTGATGCCGGAGCACTCACTCTAGCCTGGGCAACAAAGTGAGACTCTGTCTCAAAAAATAAAAAAATAAATAAAAAGTAAAATATTGAGAGTGGTATGAATATAAAAGGAAAAACAGCTTTTCCTATACACCTAGCCTAGCCAAACTCAAACTAAACCACCTCCATCTGGAGCTGGTTTTTGTATAGAGATCAGATTTTTTTTTTCTATATGCATATCCAATTTTTTCAGCTCCATTGAGTATCTCCTCTACCCACTTGTCATAACTATGTCATGTTTTAAGTTTCATGCTTGTCTGGGTCTTTCTGGGTTCTAGTCTCCATTTTAAAATTGTAACAGGCATATAATTTGAAGAATCAAAAGAAGGCTATTCGTGAAAAATAGCAATCTCTTGCCTATCCCCAATCTTCCTACTCTCCCAAAGCAACCAATTTCTATTCCTTTATTTCTTTTGCCAGTTATTTCCATATCACAGTTCTTATGTCAGTTCTTGACTTTTACATTGTATGTATAATCTATTGATTTCACCCAGTGGATGATGAGAATTTTGCATGTGCACACTCATACTACACACTCCACCATAATCCTTCCTCTTATCTATTATCCTAATATGAACAAATTATGATTTGGGATAAAACAAATTTAAGACCTTACAACCTGTTTTTGACTAAGCCATGTAGTATCTCTAATTTGACCCCAATCTTTCTCCAGTTGTCTGAGTTAATATGTTTAAACGTGTCAGGCAAGATGTTTCTCAGAACCATCTGGATCGGTTGTTCTGGTGGGCTGGTATACTCTTGTGTTGGAGCACTAGTGTTACAGATAAAGGCTGAAGCCATTTGGATTATTTACCCTTTCTCTTTGTAAGCTTGAAGGGTTTTATTTTGAAGTTTTAGTTTCGTATATTTTGGTGCAGGTCTACTTTCATTCATTGTGCTTGAGCACTTGAATACATTTTTGGTATAATTTTTTATATTGCAGTCAACTTTTTATATACATCTATATGCATGGGAAAATATTTCTATAAGAGAAATCTCTGGAAGTGGAATGAAGTTTTAATAAATATTGCCAAAATGATGAAACAGTTTATACTGTAGACAGTTTAACAGCTGATTGAAGTGTGACTTTTTCATCATACTTTTCACCAACACCAGGCAGTACATTGGTATAATTTGTATTTTGACTTGTGAAATCATGCTTTTTGTATTTATTTATTTATTTGAGACAGAGTCTCGCTTTGTTGCCCAGGCTAAAGTGAGTACCGTGGCATCAGCCTAGCTCACAGCAACCTCAAACTCCTGGGCTCAAGCGATCCTCCTGCCTCAGCCTCCCAAGTAGCGGGGACTACAGGCATGAGCCACCATGCCTGGCTAATTTTTTTTTGTATATATATTTTTAGTTGGTCAATTAATTTCTTTCTATTTTTAGTAGAGAGGGGGTCTCGCTCAGACTGGTTTTGAACTCCGGACCTCGAATATTCTGCCCGCCTTGGCCTCCCAGAGTGCTAGGATTACAGACATGAGCCACCACGCCCGGCCATGCTTTTTGTACTTAAATAGCTGCTTTATTTCTCCTATATTATAATAGCTTTTCATAGCCTTTGCCCATTCTGAGTTAATGTTTTTTTTTTTTACTGATCTATAAAGGCTTTTGTCTGCAAGGGTCATGTTTTGTCATGCTTCTAAATTATTTTTCCTAGGGCTTCCCCTCCTCCCCGGGAATGGTGGCTCATGCCTGTAGTCTGAGCTACTTGGGAGGCTGAGGGCTGAGGTGGGAGGATCGCTTGAGCCCAGGAATTTGAGGTTACAGCAAACTATGATAAAGCCAAACTGCATTTCAGCCTGGGCAAGAGAGTGATACTGTAAAACAAACAAACAAACAACAACAAAAAAATAGGCTAGGCGCGGTGGCTCAATGCCTGTAATCCTAGCACTCTGGGAGGCCAGAGGCTGGCAGATCACTCAAGGTCAGGAGTTCGAAACCAGCCTGAGCAAGAGTGAGACCCGTCTCTACTAAAAATAGAAAGAAATTAATCAGCCAACTAAAAATATATGTATAAAAAATATTAGCCAGGCACGGTGGTGCATGCCTGTAGTCCCAGCTACTCAGGAGGCTGAGGAAGAAGGATTGCTTGAGCCCAGGAGTTTGAGGTTGCTGTAAGCTAGGCTAATGCCACGGCACTCTAGCCTGGGCAACAAAGTGAGACTCTGTCTCACAAAAAGTAAATAAATAAAATTAGCCAGGCATGGTGGCACCTGCCTGTAGTCCCAGCTACTTGGGAGGCTGAGGCAGTAGGATTGCTTGAGCCCAGGAATTTGAGATTGCTGTGAGCTAGGCTGATGCCATGGCACTCTAGCCCAGACAACAGAGTGAGACTCTGTCTCAAAACAAAAACAAAAAAAAAAACAAAATCAAATTAAGGTACATGCCACCATGCCCGGCTAATTTTTTCTATTTTTTTTTTTTTTCAGTTGCCTGGCTATTTTTTTCCCACATTTTTAGTAGAGATGGGGTCTCGCTCTTGCTTAGGCTGGTCTCAAACTCCTGACCTCAAACGATACTCCTGCCTGGGCCTCCCAGAGTGCTTGGATTATAGGCGTGAGCCACTGTGCTGGCGAGAAGGACTTCTGAGCAAAATAAGCAGTGGAAGGGAATTACAGAGGATATTAGTATATAGGGTTGCATAAACATGGAAACTGGGCCAAAAACTCTAATTAAATAAAAATTAATTTAATTCAATTAAACAATAT